ATCCAACATCTTTGTCACACCGTGACGTGTTTTCTACACGTTTTTATCGCGCTCTTTATATATGTATGTACTTCGTTCTGTTCAAGCGCCGTCGTTTTCAGCACACATTGTTCTAGGGAGAATTTGTAAGACTCAAAGATCCCCGCTGTATACTGATTATCGTAATAAACGTAGAGGCAAATTATCCAGTTTTCTGTTGTAACAATTGAACGTCGAATAATTCGCATACTTGATCCACCCCTTCCTTTTCGGTTGGATTTTATACCTCCTACCGAGCTCGTAATCGAACTTAACAGCCCGCAAATAAAGAAATAAATATAACTGATAATTTCTACGATACTTTTGTCTATTCATAATTAATATGAGCCGTTTATTTTGAAAGTGGCATAAAGTCACTTTACCGTAATGAAAAGTGGTGATTTTTTAACGTTTATACGAAATTATTTATACCGAGAAAAATATCAGTATCCTGAGACAACAAATACAAGTAAATCTTCTCGAAAGTTAGCATCCATATTTTGAAACGTGTTAAAACGCGAACCCTTAAATATATCGACTTAAAAACAAAGTGACTTATGCCACTTTCAAAATAAACGGCTTATATTGATCAACTTCAAATTCTGCCATCGACTGGAATCATCTTCTTCAAATTGCTATTAGTACAGGTACAACTCGGTACACGGCGCTATTAACTTAGTTAATATGAAACGGTAAACATTGAATCGGCTCAGTGAGGTGACCTAGTCGAAACATGCCGTCAGTTGAGGTATTTATCGAAAGTTATAATTAAAGTTTCGAACCTACGGGATCTCTAACTAAGTGAAAATTTGTCATTCAACAGACAAGCCGGGTTTGTTGCGTGTGTAAGAAGGTGTTCTGTTGCATCCAATGCCGAGAACGACATCAAAAGAAAAAACATTCAGAGGAGGAGTTGAAATGTCCGCTGTGCACGATCCAGAAATTTCCATTACAGACGCTCGAAGATAAATCGCTGCTTTGTCATATAGCGGCCGCTCATCTGCCACTGCATTGCACTCTTTGCGGGGAATTATTCAAGCAGAGCAAAGACCTGGAGTCGTTTGGTAATTGTCATGATTCAAAACAAGCAAATCACTTCTAAGCACACTAAGTAAAACACTTGGTCAGAATCTAAGTATACATTTCTTTAAATTTCTGTTTCATAACAATAAAGGCACCTGCAAGTGGTGGAAGTCTCGACATCGGCACAATCTGGTTTCGGGCCAAAAGTCCGAGCTGAGAACGCCGCCGTTGATCGATGGAAAGGAAAACGAGTACAACGGGAACTTCGCGTCCTTGACCTCACCTCCGGAGTTGTACAGGAATACTAGCACCCCCATGGTGATCGGACAGAAGATCAAGCTGGATTTAAAGACCCCGATAGTTCCAGATTTCTCCTTGAAAACACCGAAGACGAACTCCCCGTCGTTGAAGAGTCAGATTCACAGCGACTTCCGGGACAGTACCGCCAGCAACTATGCGAGCTTCCCGTCTTCAGGTTCGCACAAGGAAACGCCTTTCCGATCAGTGAGTCGCAGCAACACGGACTCTGTGCTTCCTAAAGGCAACTCCAGAAAGCTGGGCGTCATGAAGGAACAGGAAGAACACAATTCGAACGTGCATTCCAGCGTGAATCATGCGGTCGAGGACATGGAGCTGACCGGTGTCGAAGGCGAGACGGTGAATAACTTCCAGGGGAGGCGATCGGATTCTTCGAAGAAAGTACGATTCTCGGATCAGTACGAGTCTACCTCGGAGTTTAGTACCCGCAGTAACGTTAACGTTACCGAAAACGAAGAGTACTTCGAGGCCTGCGATACCATATCCGACTCGCGGATGCAGGTTTGCGAAGAGAACGCGAAGAATATACAGAAAGAAAATTGCAGCCCGAACAGAGGCAACGCGAGTGTTAATAAACCCCCTAGTTCGACGAGGGTGGTGGTGATGATGGTCGTGGAGAACAGTTCCATCTATTCCACCAGCGATCTTATAAACACTGGCTTGAAGAAACTGGAATGCATCACTTCCAAACAGTGCGACAGCGGCCATAGTTCTCCTGGTTGCAGTTGTACAACGGGCACCGTCGATACGTATTACAACATTACGAGCCAGGAGTCTTATTCGACGTCAAACAGAACGATCGAATTCATCAGGAGTGATTCTACTTCGTCGAATAGCAGCGGCGACAGTGCGAGCTCCGCGGGGCTTTTTTATACGGTAGCTAACGCAGTGAAGTCTGTCGTGAACAGTATCTCTGGTAGGTAGATCATTGTCATTTTGTAGAAATACAATTTGCAGAAGGATCGTTTTAATCTAACTCGACATTGTTTTTAACATACGCAGCTATGACGATGTCCCGGAATATTGAAAGGGGACAAGTGTCTCCCTCGAAATCAGACGCGTCCGTTCCAGTGTCGCAGTTTCTTACCGCGTTCACACAGAGACCTGGAAAACGTTCCAGAGACATTCTAGATAGCTCACCGCAGAGGCAAATGCGTTTAGGATTCTCACAATTCGAGCCTACGAGTCCGCTTCGAAAGCGACATCGTGGGAAGATCAAGGCTCGGGACCCGATGCCCAGGATGCTGTCTCCTAGAGGAGTGTCTTCGGAGACACAAGTTTTTCGTCAGGGTTCATTATCCGTTGGCGACACGGTTCTACCCCTACCTTCAAGGGCGCACCAATCTTCGCAAACTGATTGACGTCGAATTGCACGTGCAGAGTATTTATTATATATTTAACTTAATATTGTATTCTATCGTAATGAAAATTAATTTATTATTTTATTTTATCGTGACTTATTATAGCGTTTAAATTATTTTGTGTAACGTTACGTATTAAAAGTGCTGTGTTTTAAAAGATCTAATATATTTTTACACAGTTGACGAATAATTACTTCTTATGCATAAATGATGTTTGCAAAACAAATAACATAACTGTGATCGAGAAAATAAATATGAAATCATGTAAAAATGAAGATATCGATAGAATAGAAATCTTACTAGCATCGAAGCACAATCGGTAAATCAGCGAATGTTTACTTAATTCTGTTTTTGATGTTTTTCGGCATTCGATGGATAAAATACTTGTTATGCATAAATGATTGATATTTGTAAAACGAATAACATAACTGTGATTGAGTAAATAAATGTCAAATTATGTAGAAGGGAGGAAATCGATAGAATAGAAATCTTATAACCATTGAAACACGATCGGTAACTCATTGTTAAGATTAATTTGTATCAATGTTTATGTTTATTCCGTTTGCCGAGACGCTCCATAATGTAACTTGATTCCTATTAGAAAATGGGGCCATGTTAACGTCTACACTAGTGCTTAATTTCGATATTATTGCTACCCTTTCGATTATTGATTCGATATGAGAAAATGTGGAAATGTATGTTGTCTTGCCTTGCAATAATCTTGAACAAATTGCATAAGAATGATACAAGTTTAATATTTGGAACCCAACAAGATAAATGATCAAAAACTCTCCTTTTTTATAAATTCTAGTAAATTATTGCTAATACTGATTATCCTAACGTGCATTAAGTCCAGAGACGACGTACGCGAATACAGTAAGCCTCTTTTGGCTGAATTCTATAATTCAATGAAGAATTCCTTACACGCGTTTCAAGCGTACCTTTATAGTTTTGTTGACCTAATGTAATTACATATCAAATAATGGTAACAATGTAGAATTACAATATATAATTCATTGATTTCAATAAAAAATTATTATATTAAAAATAATTATCACTGCATTGGAGAATGATGGAGATGTGCTCTGGAAAGTTGATGGTGCATCTGAGTTTGGATTTGTAGCAGTGTAGTAGTAGTAGTAGTTCTGTTACGAACAGATACATTTGATATATTTGATGTTGTCGTGATGTTCCATTAAGCTTTATGAGATTACGTAAACACTTGCTTTAAGGTGGCAAATAACCATAAAATAAGATATCCTCAGGAGAAGATTGCTTCAAATCTTTACATAACATCAACCATTTAACTAACGGTACACGAGTCCGGGAGAAGTTACTGTATGTATATATTTCTATTCCATATACATACTATTATATATACTATTACATATACATATTACTATTCCATATACATACTATTATATATACTATTACATATACATATTACTATTCCATATACATATTATTATATATACTATTACATATACATTACTGTTACATTATACATATACATACATATACATACTACATATTATTATATATTATACTATACATGCTATTATATATTATATACATATACATACATATACATACTACATATTATTATATATTATACTATACATGCTATTATATATTATATACATATACATACTATATACATACTACATTTCCACCATCTAAATATTTGCGTCGTACATATACTGGATATTCGCTTCTTGCTAACGTTCCTATTTTTCATGAACTATCGGTAATATTGATCGCGACACGAAATGTGTAAGGGAGAAAGAAACACGGAGTTTCAAGAGATGGCGCTGCATGTCCCATTTTCATGATCGCCTCATGAGAGCTCCTATTAGAGCGAATCGCGTTTATTTATATTACAATTGTATAAATAGCAATTTTTCATTGGAAATTTCTTCGTCCTACCAGTCGATATGATTCGCGTGAACTTTCTAGCGAAACGAGGACTTAATTTCCTTCAAAATATGGAGAACTGCCAGTTTCGAATTTCTCAATTAATCGAGTTCAGTACGAAAAAGATTCTAATTAGCAAAATTCGGAGGAAAATGCGTTCTCGCATCTCACAAAGTCTCTATCCGAACGCTTCAAGGTCTCCGTTTATGGACAAAAGACGTACGTTGGACACTGGAATTTGATCTCCGCGCAATCTTCGATCGAATTCTTCGTCGATTCTGGAACATTCTGAACGCGATGCGTACACATTGTTCAGAAAATCGTCGTGAATCCCGCGGAGCTTAATGGTTCGCGACACAATTTTCCCCGTAGCAGAGTGGTCCATCCTCGTCGACAACCGGAAACGTGCATCCGACACCGAAAAGGTATCTAGGCCGCGCGAGTATCAGCGGATCCGCGGCAAAGAAGAAATTCTTGGCTCTAAAAGCTTTTTAAGAACACTCTCTGACGCACGGCACCGGCCGCTCAAACACATAAACGGAAGAAACAAAGATGTCGCGAGCTCTCGGCCGGTGCGATCTCGGATTGCGGATCTTTGTTGGATCATGATGTTGCGGTCATGGATCACACCGGGCTCGGGAATGCTCGCGTTTCAAACGGATCCGTGGAATTTCGCGGCGAGCAATTTCGGACCTATGAAAGTGCATTGGCCGGGCCGTGTCCAATCGTGACGAGTCGAGCCGAGCCGAGCCGCTTTTATCGCCGATGATCCATTCGATCGGACAAGCGAGAAGCGAGGCGACGCGGCTAAGTGTCCAAGTATTCGGCAAGCGTCGAACGATTCGCGGTTTGCAGTTGCAGCGGGCCGAGATCTATTTTCGAACAGGACGTATTTATAACGAACCTTACCTTTCGAGGGTCGAACCCCGTGCCGGCATTCGCGTAAATGGAATTGCGACCGTCTCGACTCAACCTCCTTTCGAACCCCGATAACCGGGGATCCGAGTCGAATAATGCGCATCCACTAAATCCCGCGGGCCGGACATAAATTGTTCGGAATCGCTCCGAAGTCGACAAAGCGGCGATTTCTTCCCGGTTCATCGAGGAATACGGCTTGATGTCCGTATCATGGAAAATCGATCGCTATATCCTTTATCTATACGGGGTGGCAACTTCCCAAGTTAAGGACTCCGAGATATAGACACGTTTTACATCGATTCCAGTTGCAAAAGACATTTCCCTCTTAAATCTGTTCTAGATACTTTCCGCGGGAACAACTTCTTCGAACTGTACCGTTCGTTTCGCTGCTGCAGAATTTAGGATTCGAACTTTCGAACGCAGTATCTCTGTCAGCGGTTGTTTTAATTGGGCCAAATGAAACAATGCTTAACTTGGGCCGCAAAAAAAAGATCAATGTTCATAGAAACGAATATTTTTATTTTGACTAGTACATTGTAATAAACATATATAAAGTTATATATACTTATATAATAATTTATATTATTATATTATTTATTATTATTTTATTATATTATATATAATATATATATATTTTATTATATATATTATTATATATACTTATTAAGATAGTACCAGAGAAGAGATGTCAAGTATCAACTTGACTGTGACAACTATTATTATTTTGATTTATTTTATATCGTTTTAAGAATTTAAAGGTAACTTTGAAAAATATCGAAAAGTTTAGATCACTTAATTTCTTTAACATCATTAGCAATTTCAAGAGATTTAGTGCGATTGACCATTCTTACAGGATATTTCAACTCGATAACGACACAACGATAAAATAGACAGCCATGTCACAAAATGTTTACCTAATTTGCTGATACGTTGATTCTCTGTCAATCTAAATATATGTTTTTATTCTGTTATTGTAAAAATGGTTGTTTACCTATATATATATAATAATAAATAAAATTAGATAAAATTGAATAAAATAAAATTTCTTCAATGTAACTATCGATCAAATTAAATATCTTTAAGAGGAACTGGTTATGTCAAATATAAAAAAATATCTTTAAGAGGAACTGGTTGAGACCGATTCTTACATCGGAGAAATTTTATTTTGTTCAATTTCATTTTATACGCGATAGCATACTCGTCGAAACTGTCCAACGGTTGCGACAACGAACGAAAAACTTGCAGCAGAATAATCGATACGAAGTTATTAAGAACGCAAATGATGGAAATTGCAACGCCGCGTTGAATTGCTTCTGTTGCGTTGAATTCTCTCCGAAACGCGCGGCGAATAAATGAATTTCTGAACAGTTCCCGGATTATCAACGATCGCTGGTACCCCTCCGCCTTTTTCTCGTGGGCAAGAACACCCCCGATCCGCGGAAAACTCGAGTCGTAAATAGCAATACGCGTGATTTAGTTTTATCTCGGCCCACGCCGCGGCATAGCTCATTCTAATAGCCGCGATCCGCGATTCGCAGTTCGGCGACATAAATTCCCCGAATCCACTCTCTGGACGCTTTAACTCGGGGGTTAATATTTACGCGGTCGACTTCGCCGGACCGCTTTACGAGCCGGTGCCCTCGTTGATCACGCTTATTATCGAGCCTCGCCTATTAAGGCGAACGAGTTTTCGTTTAACAGTTCTTTCGCCCCCTGTTAGAGTCGAACTTTGTTAAGAATTCATTGCCAAGGGGTCCAACACTGCGTCACTTCAGCTTCGGCCAGCAGACGAACGGCTGAATTTAATGAATCCAGTAGGGTAATTCCGGGTGAGATCGCTCGCTTTTTTCTTTTAAAATGTCAATATGTAATAAATATCGACCATTGTGCCGAAATTCAACAATATTTGAGCCGTTTGTTTTGAAAGTGGCATAAGTCACTTTGCTTTTAAGTCGATATATTTAAGGGTTTGCGTTTTTTAACACGTTTAAAAATATGGATGCTAACTTACTTGTATCTGTTATCTCAGGATACTGATATTTTTCTCGGTATAAATAATTTCGTATAAACATTCAAAAATCACCACTTTTCATTACGGTAAAGTGGCTTATGCCACTTTCAAAATAAACGGCTCATTTTTAACAAGCTGAATATACATTTACAATTACTAGTACTACGCACCTTCGTGCAAAGTAAAAATTGTTCTACTTAACTGTAAGAAACACGAATTAGTTGAAAATGTCTTCCTTCCTTTAATAATTACAAGCTGAAAATAATGCAACGATATCCCAAAATTCTTCTAACGATCTTACAATTTTGTATTTGACCTATTCATTTTTGTCATAAATTTATAATTCTCATCGTTTGAATATATCAAAAAATGTATATACAATGTAATATATTAATTATTAGGTCTACCGGAAAGTTCTGTCCGATAATGTCATTGCAAATTTCAATAGATATGCACATATTTATGTGAGACATACATTTTTGAAAAATGTTGCTCACAAATTGCCATCACTCTGGCAAGAGGTCACAAGTAACGACGGAAATTATATTGTACAATAAATATTACTAATTTTATTTAAAATCTATTATTTCCTTTCATTTCTTAAACGGACAGAACTTTCCGGTAGACCTAATATTATATTACTTGTCACAACATATTTCATGAATTA